TGCAAACAGTGTGGAGAGCCAGTGTGGTGTAGTGGTGAAGAGCATGGGACTGGGACTCAGGCAGTCCGGGTTCTAGTCCCCGCTCGGCCATGGAGCCAACTGGGTGACTTTGGGCCAGTCACAGGCTCTCAGCCCAACTTACCTCACAGGGTTGTTGTTGTGGGCATAAGATGGAGGAGGAGAATGATGTAAGCTGCCTTGAGCCCTTTGTAGGAAAAAGGCAGGATATAAATCGAAAATAAATAAATAAAATAAAAACATAGTTTTTCCCAGTGTGCTTTTGGGAACCCTGCCTACTCTACCCATCTTTCATTGCAGCCATCCTGTGCGGGTTGTTGTGAGAATCCCATTAGACCAGGGAGAAGAGCCTTGTATGCCTCACGGCAGTGTGGGATGTACATCAAATGAGATCCAGGAATTTTAAGGGAAAGGGAAAGTCAGGAGCGGTGTGCAGAGCGACCACAAGTTGCAAGAGCTGATTAGTCCAAGCCTGCTTGATGCTGTGAATGGGCAGCCATGCGCCATGCTCCCCTCTGAAGGAGCTGCAAGACGAGGATAGCGTGGCTTGGCTCTTAATTGGATCATTCATCTCTGAATGAAGCGAGTTTTGCGCTCCTAAACAGCGCAAATTGCTGTACATAAGCTGTAATCACCCACTGCACACTCTGGGGTCTCTCTTTTACTGCTCTTAATTGGATGACACACTCCACGGTAGTCGTCTTGGTCCCCACCAGCTCACTTCAGCAAGCAGCAAGCAGAGAAGACTTCAGTCTGGAACACTGCAGAATGCTGTCAGCCTTGTTCGGATTCGTATTTGCATTTTTAAATTTTTAAATAGATGCAACATACCAAAAGGCATGTCCAAATAATTTGGAGGTGTTGCTGCATATACACTGTCTCACTAAAACCTCCTTCTGGCCACGCTGCAATATTGGCTTATACTAGCTTGCTCAAAGAGATAATAAGAACACAATAAAAAGCCATGCTGGATCCAGTCAAGGGTCGATCCAGTCCAGCGCTCTGTTCACACAGTGGCAAAGCAGCTGCACCCAGAATCCCACCAGCAGGAGGGGTGCAAAATGGCCCCGCTCCTTAGCAACTGGTGTATTGAAGCATCCCCCTTCTGATAATGGAAGTAACACATAACCAACAAAACTAGTAGCCACTAATAGTCTTCTCCTCCAATTTTCTTCTAAAGCCATTCAGACTGGTGACCATCACTAATTCCTGTGGCAGTGAGTGCCCTGGTTTAACACTGCCCTGTGTGAAGAAGCCCGTCCCTTTATCTGTCTGGAATCTCCCAGCAGTCAACTTCAGATGTGAGCCCAGGTTCTAGTATCATGGGAGAGCTTGATCATAGAAGGTGGAAGTAATCCAGGAGAGCCAGTGTGGCATAGTGGTGAAGAGCCTGGGACTGGGACTCAGACAATCCGGGTTCTAGTCCCCGCTCAGCCATGGAGCCAACTGGGTGACTTTGGGCCAGCCACAGACTCTCAGCCCAACCTACCTCACAGGGTTGTTGTTGTGGGGATAAGATGGAGGAGGAGAATGATGTAAGCTGCCTTGAGCCCTTTGTCGGAAAAAGGCAGGATATAAATTGCAATATAAATAAAGAAATAATCCATAATGATTTTTGCAGTGATTTTGCAAATTTAGTAATATAGAGTCAGACGATCATCTGTTTATTTAAATTGCCTTCGTTTTCTAGGCATATTATGTGAAACTGTGTACTAATACAGAACTATATATTCTGTAACTTGACCTGGGGCCAGGTTATCTTAAGGAACACTTTGCACCATATATTCCTACCCAATCCTTAAGATCCTTCTCAGGGAAACCACCCCCTCCAAAAAAAGTGGGGGGACAACCCAGACAAGGGCCTTTTCAGTAGTGGCCCCCCAACTCTGGAATATGCTCCTGCCATCTTTTAAGGGCCAAAGTGAAAACCTTTTTACTTTCCAGTTGTTTTAATAGTTAAATCTGTTGGGTTTTATTCTGCTGAGCCAGTTTTAAATATTGCTTATTATTTGCTGCTGCACCGGGGACAGGAGGAAGGTGTTAAACTATTGTACTTGCTACGTTTTGTTGTCCTATGCTTGTTATATTGTCATATTGTTTTAGTCTTTTATTGTCTACTCAGTGTGAGTATTTTATGAATTGTATATTTGATTGTAAATTTTTAAACTGCTCAGACAGGCTGTGGGCTATGGGGTAGTGCATAAATGTAATAAATTAATAAATACCACCAGCAACCAAAGAAATCATATTAAAAGGCAGAGAAGGAAACAGAGTCTGATACAGGCTCTCCAGGGAAAGAACCACTTTCAGATCTAGAGTCCAGTAATACTTTTCATAAATGTTAATAGAACGTTCATTCAAACTGATGTACTGTGATATTTCCATACCCATTTTTCTAATGTAATCCTTTCTCTTATTAACTACCCTCTGTCCAAAATCTTTGTTCCAGTATTGAAACTCTAGCAGCAGCCTTCAGAAGACATCTCTATAAATTTGATGACTTCTCTCTTTCTTCCCAAACTTAGACATCATGGGAAACTGTGGTTTGTGCAAAAAGATGCAACAAAGAGACACTGGTTTAAAGCTGCTCATCTGCTTTTCTTTTCATCTTCTCCATTCCACTCATTCAGTCTTTAACATCCTCTAGAGGTAGAGTTAGATGCATAATTTTGTCAGTTTGGCATCACAGCTAACTATAGGTAGAATAAACCAACTGCAAATCAGCTTCAAGCCATGATTCCAGATTCTGTGATCAGAAATGATGGTTCAGGTCAGAAAATATGAGAAAACAGAGGCTGGATTCACATGTCAGAACAAGCAACTCTGTGTGGTTTCCATGGTGCCCTTATTTCACCTGACTGTGTCTCAGCCCACTCCACCCCCCGCCGTGACGCATATCCCATCAGCCATTGTACCTGAAATGCACTCCCATGCTGGATGGCTAGATCGGCTGCCACTCTTTCCAATGGACTCTGTGGTTGCTGCATACCAGGATGGTGGAAACCATGATGCTGGTGGTGAAGCATGGAAGCCATGGAACAGACTGGCTTTTTTCCTTACTGTGGTTTCTAAAAGCCAAATGGACCATGCTGAAACACCATAGCAGGTTTGGACAACACAACAGACCACGCTACACAAGAAACCATTGTGAACCTGTGTTGTGTGAACCTGCTCATAGATAATCATGGTTGCACATGATGTATGAAGCAAGCTCCCAGTTCATCTCTGAATTGGCTGAGACCTCATTTGCATTTGCCTGACGTATTTATGACAAAAGAAAGAATCAGTTCCTCATTATGAAGTTTTCCTTTCCGAAGAGCTCATTCCTCTATTTCAACTTGCTTGATTATGTATATATTGTTGCTTTATTGTGTGGCTGCTTCCATGTTAGTACAGGGTGTCCCAGAAAAATTGACATCATTTCGTAGTCTAATAACATAGCCAATTCTTGCTTAAATGGTCTCAAATTTTAACAAAATGTGTAAAAACTAACTATTGTTAGTTACACAATGTTATGCAAGAGATGCTGCAGTGTGTTTGGCAGGAGGTGGACTGCCAACTTGACATGTGTCATGTCACAGGCGGTGCACATATTGAACATCTGTGAAGCTTTGTGAAATCAGTTATAAAATCTACATCACTTTGAATCTCTTGTTCGAATTTTGATAAAGAAACCTGTTATTGTTCAACATGAAGCCTATTTAATTTCATTTGCCTAGGAGATGTAGTTACTCAGATAGTCATATTTCAAATAATGTCAAATTTGGGGGGGGGCACCCTGTATAAGTGATGAACAGAGTGAACTTAATTTATTTTATATTTATCTTCTGCTGCTCACTTGTAAGCTGCTTTGACAAACTCCAAGATATCCTAAGTCAGAAATGGGGAGAGAATAGGTCTCTGCCTGTGTTCTGAACTCCAGTTTCCAGCATCCATGATCATTGATCATGCTGGCAATGGCTTCTGGGCACAGAAGTCCTAGACATTCCGGTGAATCTCCTCCTTTCCATCTCTGTCCTAAGTTCTTCCATTTATCCCTACTCAGTTCATAGAGCTGGGCACAGCTGAGCTGGAGGCTTTCAAGTTGAGTCTCAAAAACTATCTGCGGGATTTGCACTAGTTCTACATTTCCAATATCAAATAATGGGTAAGACAGCACGGCCTGCAATTACCCTGCGATGCTACTGCAAAGGCAAGCCCAACCTGGAGCACATGTCTCAAAGAAATCAGTGCCTTGCCTTGCCTTTGTTTTCACTTTTGGCCACCCTCTGTCACTCTCTCATTGGTGTTGCAAAATCTGAATGCTTTTACAGTTCAGTCTTCTCTCTAAAGCTCTCAGCAGAGTAAGGAGGCCTTTGCCAAAAGCAAGATGCTCCTTGCAACGCAAAGAGCTGTTGAGAGGTGCAGTGTAAAGATCACCACCGGGCCTCTTCCACCATCTGCTTTGCACTGTTTCCAGGAGCTATAATGGCCTTTGAAGGTCATCCAGTCTGCAGTACTCTGATAAAAGGGTATAAATAAGTAATTGCAATGCTATGAGGTAGCTGGTAGATGTTGTTTTAACATCACTCAGTTGGTAAAAGACAGTTTTACTCTCTGCACTGTTGCTTTGAAGGTTTCCCTACAGCAGGCGTTTCCCCTCATCTCCGCGCAGCGCTGCTCACCCCATCCTCTCCCTCGCACTTACAATCCGATAACAAGATTCTTTTTCTGATCAATATTTCTTCACTTCAGATTTTATTAACGCACTGCCCTCTGGCTGCTCCCAGAGCTAGTCCGTGTGCTCAAAATTGTGTTATTCTTTGCACTAATTCTTTTTAAGGCCACTGTTCTCTACATGGAGAGGAGAGGGCAGGTCAGTGGAGGCCCTCCTACCCTGTGGAAGCTGGCAAAATATTGAATGATTGTTGCATTAGCCGACGTGATGCGCGGCATCTATTGATCCTTCCCTTTTCCTCCTCTCCCACTGCTCTTTCTTGCAGGAACACTTCACACCAGAATGCAAGTTCAAAGAATCGGTTTTTGAAAACTACTATGTGACTTACTCCTCCATGATCTACAGACAACAGCAGTCAGGAAGAGGCTGGTACTTGGGTCTTAACAAAGAAGGAGAAATCATGAAAGGAAACCACGTCAAGAAAAACAAGCCTGCAGCACACTTCCTCCCCAAACCATTAAAAGGTATCTTTCTTGGGGCTGGCTTGTTAATGGTGTGTCCTTTTAGGAGTCAAGGGAGCCCCTCAGCGAGGACTCTGGCAGCTCGGTCCCTGCAGCATGCTGGCTGCAGTTCTCAGAGGGACCGTGCATATTTGGGCCACCTCATGCCTGGCTGAGGAGCTGGGAAGAGCCTGAGAAGGGACTGATGTGATGTGACCAAGGACTTCATTTGCAGGGAGGTAGAGAAGGGCGCACGGTGCCTAAGGAGGAGCCATTCCCTAGGGGGAGAGAACTTTCCGTGGCTTGCAGGCTGGGCCATGGCATGCTGCAAGCCTTGGGAGCAAGGAGCAAGCATGGCAGGTCCTCTGGGAGAAAGGGGGGGTTGTGCTCATGCTCCTCCTGCTCTAGCCATGGCAGAGGAGTAGCAGGAGCAGAATTCCCAGCCCTGCTAACGGTTCAGCCTCCGATCAGCCTCTCTGCCATGGCCACACCTTCCGCATGCATTTTGTCTAGGTGGGCTATCTAAAGAAACCACCAGGGAGGGGCAGTGAAGGAGGCTGGCTTGCCAGTAGGGATCTATGGAGGTATGTAGGCCCTGCCTCCTCAGCTTCCTGGCATGACCTGTTTCCCCTGCCCCAAGGTGCAGTTCCACCCATGAAGCAGCAGCCAGAGTGGTCCCTTCTGCATCAGCCAAAAGGGGGCAGGGATTGGCCATGGGGATTTGAGCACCAAGGTTGGAGGACCCTGATGCTGGGACTTGGGAGAAGCCTGTGGCTTTTCATTGCATCGTCGTCATCACCCCCACCCCCAATTCCAACGCTTTTCTCAAAGTTCTTGGGGTGCTGTACAGAGTCCCCCCTTTGTATCCACGGAGTCACCCTAGGAGCATGGTTAAGACATAACAAAGTGGCTGGCCCAAGGCTTTCCAGAAAGCTTCGGGGTAAAGCAGGCACTGCGGAGTAGGGTTCCTCAGCCTTCCTCTGGGCTTCTAGCAGCTGCAGCCACATGGCTCTTCAGTGAGTCCGGTTTCTTATGTCTTGCTCTGTTTTTCTCTCTCCACCTGCCCCCACTCCTACTTTCCAGTGGCCATGTACAAAGAACCCTCCCTCCACGATCTTACAGAATTTTCACGGTCCGGTAGTGGCACCCCCACAAAAAGCAGAAGTGTCTCAGGAGTGCTAAATGGTGGGAAATCCATGAGTCAAAATGAATCTACGTAGCCAGGATGGGGAGCTGGTGGAAAGATGTCTGATGGAAACTTACCTCTGGAATTGCCGTTGAGAACCCTTACTAGCCGTCTCCCATCCAACCAGTCTGAACAAGCCCGAGGAGCTGGCATATCTCACATTGTCTTCTCAGCCATTTTAGAACTTTTGGTTCTTCAAAGCAATGACAACTGCTTTTACTGATAATGCCAATAAAAAAGGAGACATCCCAATAACATAAGAGCATCCTTGTGCAATTTCCCAAGGGTAACCAGAGAAACATAAGTTGAGGCATAAAACCATAAAGAGAAAGTCTCTCTCCCTCTCTCTCTCTCTCTCTCTCTCTCTCTCTCTCTCTCTCTCTCTCTCTCTCATCTCATCTCATCTGTGCTTTCTGAAAAGAAAAGAAATTAAGAAACAAAAAACATTTTCACAGCATATAACTGCTGGCCTGAATTTGCTTTCCAACCAAGAGAGAAATCCAGTCAATTACCACTTTTCTTGCTCTTCAAGGGAAATTTTAATGCTTAATGTTTTATATAAACTAGCGTTAGAGGGGCAAATACTGAGAATAAGTACATTCTGTGGTTTTTTCTCAGCTTACTGTTTTATATCTCTTATGGCTTGGTCAGGAAAACAAACCCAAATATATTCTTTTAATTTGGAATAGTGCAACTTTTTTGCTTTCTTAACTCCAAGGGTTTTCCTCGGAGCTTTATCTCTGCAAGCAAACTAATGCTACTGGCAGTAAAATATTATGGGGTGGGGGGAGATGAGCTTTGGAGCTGCATCTCATTGTCTCCGGCTCCAGCAAAAAGTGTTTTTGTGGTTTTAAAACACACTGAAATATATACAGTTTTTTTAATAGATTTGTAGTATTATGTTTAAAGTCCTTGTGCTGATCCCAGTCTGTAGGAACCGAGGCGTTACGTTAATCCCCAGTCAGTGAAAGATGATGTTTTATATTTTAAAAGGGGGATAACTTATCCCTGCTGTGTAGATCTGATTCCCCCCTCCCTCCTTCCCCTTGCTTCCTCTCTCTTAATTACATTTTGTGTATCATATTAAAAAAACAAAACCCTGTCGTCGTGGCTTCTTTTTTTCTAAAGACAGAAACTGTGGAACTAAGGTGACTTAACAATTTTTTAATAAGAAAAACATCTTATTTGTAAAACAAAGAGTACAATAAACATTTCATGTATATGAAATCTGGGTAGTATGACAACACACAGTCCCTTAGAGAACACATGCATGCCGGTAGGGAGAGGGACACGCTCCTGCCCCCTTCTTTCTGCAGAGGGAACGGTGCAGTGAGATGTGATATAAGCCTATCATATATCATGATGCTTGTTATGTATCGCCTTGGCATGCATGCACTGAGCAGCCCTGGCTTGGGGGTGGCCTGGTGGAAGGAGGGGCATGTTGTGCCACATGGAGCCCCTCTGAACCCCATTTTTGTCCTGCGGGAGGATCTCATCGTTTTCCTTTTCTGAAGTAAAAGTAAGAGTGACAAACTGAATCTTCCCCTAGGTTTCCGCTTAGTTCATCATATCCATTGCATGGGAGAAAGTTGGAATATTGGCTTAAGAGTTGCATGACATGTTCTGATTTTGTGCATTGCTCTCTGTCAGCGCCAGTTACAGATTATGTACAAAGCTGGCATGGTGTGGAGCGAGCTGTTGCCTTGCTGCTTTGTATGAAGGAGCTGTTCATTATTTGTTGTATAACACCATGCACTTAATAAACTACTTTATATTAAGACATACTTTTTAAAAACAGAGACAGTCTGTGGATTTGTACAGAAAGGAATCCTTCTGCTGGTTTGGACCCAAGTAACCTGAAAAGCTTCCATCAAGGACTTAAAGTCTGCTTTCCTTCTCGGGCACATTGTGCTAGGTGAAATCCCATTGAACTTTGTAAGACTTTGGCTTAACATGCATCCCTTGCAGGGGGGTGTCGAGAACTTGAAAAGCTGCCCTAGGGAGGAACGAAAGACTGGGAGTGATGCAATTGCAAGGCGAGACAGCACTTCACCCACCCACCCCCCGCCCCGTTCAAATTGTCCCTTTTTTCCTTTCCACACTGCAAAGAGATTTTAAATATATGCATTTCCCACACAGATACCTCCTGGTGAGGGTTGATGCTGCCTAGGGGATGTGACTGCGAATGGGAGGGGGTTGGGCACGGCCTCCAAGGTGGTTGGGGTGCAGTCCCAAATAGTTCCTCTGGAGCCACATGCCTCTGGGCGGCCCCCTGCCCCATCACCTTGCACTTCGGAAATAAAGGTCGGGGTCCTGATAATCCCCATGGCGCTGAATCAGCCAGATGAGACAGCTGCTGGCCCGCAAGGGCCTCGCCTGTCGCTTACCAGCTTGGATCTTTCTCCCTGCTTTCCTCTGCACTATCCGCCTGTCCTTGTTCACAAATAAGCTGCCCTGAGGAGGCAGCCTTCCCTAAAGACACACACAGAGAGTGACTTAGCTCATATGTCAATTAGCATATGCAAATATGTGGCCCCGTGAGCTCCCCGCCACCCGCCGCCACCCAATTTCTTGCTGAGTTCACACCACCCCTGCACTGCCTTCTGCTCTCCACCCCGTTTCTTCTCTGTTCCCGGCCACATCCCTGGAAACAGCGTGGTCTCAAAACCAGCCCTGGCCCCTGGTGACACAAGCACAACGGTGCCTCCTCGAGACAAGAAGTCGTGCCTCACATTTTTGGGCTGACAAAGATTAATCACCTTCTTCTTGCTTAAAAAGAAAAACCATCCTGAGCTGGTCAAGGCTGATCAATAGCTCGTCATCAGCATAGCCTAGAAAGCCATTACAAACCAGCTCTCAGCCAACAGTGCCTCTGCGGGCCTTTCGGCAAAGGGTGCTCCCATTTCCCATTCACTTGGTGCGCCCATCACAGTGGGGAGTCCCCCGCTTTTGCCTTTCATGTGTTCCTGGCGGAGCATCAACAAGCGCGCAGCTACGTTTTAAGATGCAGAAATGCTAGACGGGGTGCAGAGGAGGGCAGCGAGGAAGGTTCAAGGAGGAGGGCAAAGCCCTTTGGGGAGGGACTGAGAGCACTGGGCATGTTCCACCTTGGGAAGAGACTTGAGGGGTGATATGATGGCACTGTACAAGTACCTGAAGGCCATCACAAAGAGGAAGGACAAGATCACTTCTTGTCCATTCCAGAGTGCAGGACATGGAATAACAGCCTTAAGTTAAAAGAGGTCAGATTAGACTGAACACCAGGAAGTATTTCCTGACTGTCAAAGCAGTACAACAATGGCACTGATTTCCTGGGGAAGTTGCAGACTCTCCCTCACTGGGGACACTCAGAAAGTGACTGGACAGTCTTCTAAGTGGGACAGTGCAACGTGGTGTCCTCCAATAGCAGGGGGTGGGACCCAGTGGCCTTCTGGCTTCTTCCAACTATACTCTTCCATGATTCTTTGAGATTCAGGAGGAGCTTCCTAGCTTCCATTCTGTCACCCTGCTCCAGTCACCTCTTCCCCCAAGAAAAAGTGAGAGGGAGAAAGAAAGCTTGCCTGTTCCTCTCCTGAGGTAGGTGCCATGCCTTTGGGGCATGACATGGACGGCAAGTGCTGTGACACACCAGCAGAGCATCTCCAGGTTTTGTGCCATTTCCCCTCCATTCGAAAGGGTCGAATGCATCCCTGGTTATTGATGGATATTTCAGCCACAGTATCCTAGTATTTGTGCCTTACCCCCTTAAGTTTGCCCCCACCTGTCACTGCAATGCAGGTGTTCAGCTTCCAGGTACCGAAATGGGTCCTCCGGCAGATTGTCACCTCCTTCCTCTACTGCTAAAGCCTAAGAACCAGAGATGCCCCCGAGCCCGCCTTCCAATGCCTCTGGGCTCATGCAGAACTCTTGTTCCCCAGCGCATGATCCCCACACATGAGCTTACCCAGCAATGCACTCATGGTCTGTTTAAGTTATCAGCCTTTTCTCTTGCCAGCAGTTCTGGTGTCTGGGTGGATTGCCTAGTGGTTAAAAAGAGAGGAGGGAGAATGCTACATAGGCAGAGAAGGACGACAATATCAGAGGGCTCTGAACCACCCATGTGAGGATACAATCCAAGCCACAGAGAGTCAGCAAATCCATCTTTGCTGTTGCTTAGAGACGCAGCCGAATCCCAGGGAGGACTGCACTGGGTCTCGTGTTGAGAAGGGCTGTGCCTAAGAAGCCAGAACAGCGGGGCCGTGAGCATGAGGTGCTCCTTCTGGCCAAGCAGCCACATCTGAGCCAATGCTGCAAGACACATCGCTGGATGCATGCACACAGCAGCGGGCCACTGCGGTTGGCTGACATCCCCCCAACCCCTCACAGGCCGGCTTAGAAAAAGAGGTGAGAGCACAGAAGAGTCTCTGAAATGGCCCCAAACTCTTTCAAGGGTTTGGGCCTCTCTTTATCTATCCAGAACTCCAGAAAAAGAACAGGATGGTGGTGATGTCCTTGAGCATGTGCAAACTACCTCCCACGCATACTCAGAAAGACTCAAGACATCTCAGATGGCCAAAGAAAGGCACATGTTGTAGCTTTTAGGGCAAAGGCTTAAAAGCTTCTAAGGGCAGCATTGCTAAGGGTGCGATCCTAAGCAGGTTCAGGCAGAGAAAGGGATGGAATGCCCAGCTGCCGTACCTCCTCGTTTAGGAGCAAAACTTCTAAGTCAACTCCTGTTTCGTGGATTGATGGAATCGATGCCCGATGCTTCAACCACAAGTGCCATGGATGTGGATGGGTGTTTTCTTTTGTTTTGTTTTCCTTTGCTTTTTGCCATTGTTAAACAGTCAAGAGTTGGAAACTCTTGCCAGACCTCCTGCCCTGAAGGTGCTTAGGTTTCCTGTGAGTTTTCCAGCATGGGGTTCCACAGGAACTGGTTTATACCTGCACACCATTCCACGTCTGCATGAAAGCATTGGGTGAGCCACCTGGGGGACCGGAGTGTGCTGCCGATGACATGAAACCCTTTCTTCTTTTCATCCTCATCACGTGAAGCTGTGGGTTTGTTCAGACCCTGCTGAGATGTGACAATGGGCTAGGAAACGGAAACTCAACCCCAATAAGACTAAGATGCTGTTAATGGATGGTTCTCATGACCAGATGATGAGTGCTCAAGCTGCTCTGG